CAGAACAAGGGCCTTGGTGTCTTACTGATCTGTATTTGATTTCTCGCTGTCATTTTTTCACTTACTTATCAGAAGTCTTTTTTTAACTCAAATCAGATTATAGTATCAAATAGCATATAGGAAGAGAAGCACAAACACATTGCTAATACTGTTATATTGGAGCAGAGTCAGCCACAGAGTCTTATTAGGATTTCGTTTTTTTACCTTTTCTGGTGAAGCTACCCAGTACACTCAAACAGTAGTTCCCCTCCTTGTTAATCTCTGCCATTAGCATCCACAGGAATAAAATTGTTATAAATAATCCACTTGGCAAAGATAGGCTTTTTTTTTTTTTTTTTTTTTTTTTGGTACTGGGGATCAAACTCTGGTCCTTGTGCTTTCAAAGCAGGCAGTGGAACCACTGAGCTAAATCCCTAGCCCAAAGACAGGCTTTTGAAAGGAATATTTATTCCAGTTAATAGGGACTAAAATCAGGAAATTCTAGCAGCTAGCTGGGAAAAGTTGAGCTTATCCCATGGATGGGCTGACACAGAGAGGAGCAGTTAACTCGGAGAGATATCACCCATGAGTGGATGGGTTACCAGGGGGGAGAGAGATCAGCAGCTAACTGGGAAAGGAATTAGGCTTATATAGGTACTGAAAGGGCTAAGGAATCTGGGATGAAATATTTATGACTTGGATGCCCAAGGACGGTCTGCTCAGGTGTGTAGAGAATTGCTGGTTTCTTGGCACCAGGGGGTTGTATACTTAGTTTTGAGTCCATTTGCCCTATCTGAGAAGCTGCTGTTGTTTGTTGAAAGCAGCCTGTTTCTCTGAATGTCCTGTTGACTTAGGCCAGGCCTAACAAAAATCCTTCATCTGTTGACTGAATGGGCACAAAACCTAGGAACACATTCTCATAAACTCCTTCCGTGCACACCAGTCCTCTCTGGGGCCTCCTGAATATATCAAATCCCTCCTCCCCAGGAGGCAAAGTTACACAGATCTGACACAGCCTCTCTAGTACAGCAGAGTGTCATCTTACAAAGTTTTGGGTGGCGTGGGGTTCCAGTATTCATAGACTGAGGGCCATAGGCATTTGCCATCTGTAAGATGTGGTTACCTGTGCCAGGCTATTGCTGGCGGAGGCTGGCATTTAAAGTCCTTTTTGGCTGAATGAGTCTAAGCCTGACCAGCTAACTTTGAGAAATAAGGATCTGGCAGTGGTTGGTTGACTTTTTTGGGGAGGGGGAATGGTGACACAGGGTCTCCCTATGTAGTCCAGGCTAGTCTTGAGCTATGTAACCCAGGTTGGCCTCGAACTCACAGTGATCCTCCTGCCTCAGCCCCCTAAGCAACTGGATTATGCCCACCACACAGCACCACTGAACTAAATCCCTGGCCCTCACTGTTATTCTTTTTTTTTCCTTTTTGGTTTTTTGAGACAGGGTCTCACTATGCAGTTGAGCCTGATCTGGAACTCACTGTGTAGCCCAGGCTGGTCTCGAACTCGGTGATCCTCCTACCTCAGCCTCCTGAATGCTGGGATTACAGGCGTGCGCCACCACGCCCGGCAGTCACTGTTATTGATTCTTAAGATAAATAAATGTTTGCTGTGAAAATTTATTTTCGTTGTGTGCATCGGCTGGCATTATTCATCCTGATTTTGTCTTTAAGCATTTGTTGACCCATCTGTTAGGACAGTGGCCACATGCAAGCACTGGAGATGCTTGGCAGCAGACAGCAAACACATATGAACCAATCGGTTACACCTAGATCAGTCTGGAGGGACTGAATGACACTGACACCGTCACCTGTGATTTTTCCAGATTGAATCAAGAAAATGTGACTCAGTGGTGACTCCCTGTGTCTACTTTAGATACTGCATTTTCTTTTAGTTGGATAGTTTTCACTCACCTATGGTATACATTTGGGAGTAGCATGAAATGTCAGCAACGTTACATCCTTCCCTAATTGGCCAAAAGGAAATCTAAGGCTACTGTCCATATGCTATCCATTATATCTTTGATCCATAAACCATTTTGTGATTATTGAAATCATTTTCTCATTAGTTTTGTTAATGAATATTAAGGGAGACTGAAAGGTCATGAAGTGCTCATTGCAATCCTAAAGTTTTTACACTTGCACTAAGGAAAGAGCCTGCTATCCTTTGACCACTTAAGACATGACAGGGCTGAGGATGTAGCTCAGTTGTTTGGTGCTTGCCTAGTATACATACTCTAGGCCCTGGATTCAATTTCTAGAACCTCACGACAAGAAAAAAAAAGAGAGAGAGAGAGAGAGATCCCAGAACCTCAAAAAAAGAGGTGAGAGATCCAATATCTAAGCTGAAGGTGCACGGAGAAAGGTGTCATATGTAAATTACAATGTATGTTTCTCAGTAAACACACATTGAACATTTGTATCTAAATTCATTTTTTCAAAACTTATTAAAAGTATGGTAAAGTTAAAAAAAAAATAAGACATGACCACAAGGAAAAGGAGACTAACGTGGTTTGGAAGGTAGGTAATCAGACTGAGCCGACTAGAGAAAGGCTCATCTTTTAAAAAAGACAGTGACAGCGATGTAGCTCAGGTGTCTGCCGGGCAAGACTCAGGGTCTTGAGTTTGATCCCTGGTACTGGGGGGATGGGGGAAGGCAACCTTTGTTCTACCCTGAAACATCCCTGGAACACTCTGAACTGGGAATACTGCACACGGGGCTCTGAGATTGACGATTAGGTCGGAGGAAGAGGTGTGGCTAAGTGAAGGAGGCCTCTGGCAAGCCCACCAGTTGGACGGACTGTGGCCCATTGCTTCCCCTGAATAGCCCTGGTCTGGCGGGGTTTGGAACACACTGTGCTTTGAATGCTGAGATCCAGGCTTTGCTGCTCACTTGGCTCTGGGACTCCAACAAACCCTCACCTTCAGGCAGGAGATCAGACTATCTGAGCAATCTGACCAGCCCAAGACAACAATGACATTCAGGTTCCAAGCAGACTGCCCCACCAGGACACTCTTCACTGACAGTTAAGTGACTCTCTTACCTGGGGCTCAAGGTTTCCACCCATTTTTAGTTCTGTGGATTAAACAGTTACCCAGCACCTTGCACTAAACCCTCTTTTTAAATTTTGTGGACACAACCTCACTATAATCGGGCTGGCCTTGAACTCACATTGATCCGCCTGCCTCAGTCTCCTTTGAGTGCTGGACAAGCAAGCGTCACCGCATCCAGTTATCTTTTTTGTTAAATCAAGACCATCCTCTCCCCTTGCATTACTATTGGATTCACTTTGCCCAAAGGGATTTTAATAAATAGACTTGATCTCTATGATTGCCTAGCATAATGTATGTAAAACAAATCAACAGGCCTGAAATTATTGTGAAATTTACAAGTTGGCTGTTAGGACCTATGGAACCTACAAAGGAGGAACTCTGGTATAGCCTCAGTTTGTCTCTATAGATGTTCATCTTTAACATCTGTCAAATAGTTCAGACATCTGGATTTTGTCCTTCAAGAAATTAGTGGACCCAGCGGGTGTTCAGGCAGCGCTGGGAAGTAGCCGTTCATCACTGCTCAGAATGAGGACATTAAGGCATCAGCTATCTCCACTCCAGCCAAGCCTGGCTTGTTTTGGCATCTGGCGGCAGCAGGTGAATTAAGCTGAGTTCCTCATCCCCCCTAGAGTGGCTCTGGGTACTGAGGAAAAAAAGTGGATTAAGAATTAAGTGAGAATCGAAAAATAACTTAAAGAGAATGATTGAGCTTCCTCTTTGAAGTTGGGCACAGTGCCAGGCTTTTTCAGAGAGCTGCGCACTTAGTTCCTCCCTGAATTCTGCGTGGGCAGCATTACCCTAAACACACGGGAAAATTTGTCACCTCGCAGTTTTCTCTTTTCCACTCTTGGGTTTGCTGTTCTACAGCGTTCAACCTTCCTTGCCCCAGTGGCCAGGATTTCTGATTTTATACAGCGGCGGCGTCAAAACCAGATAGCTTTTTAAAAAAATTTATAAATTTTAATTTTTTGGTATTTAGAGACAGGATCTCGCTTGTACAAGACAGGATCTTGTAGTTCAGGCTGACCTTGAACTCACTAGGTAGCCCAGGCCGGTCTGGAACTCGCAGAGATGTTCCTACCTTAGGATCTCCAGTGCTCTGATCATAGGCGTGTGCCACCACGCCTGGCACTGAATCCTAGGGGATGTGAAGGATAGCCAGACAGCAAGAACGTAGTTTTGCCAAGGAGTAAAGGGCTGAAGCTCTCACAGGCAAACAGCAGCCAACTCTCACTAACCTCAGTTTTTATTAGATATATGCACAATGCTTCCATGAGAATAAACAGCTAGTTCTTTACAGATTATCTCTAGCAAAGCATTAGAAAATATTTTTTTATGAATACTTGCTTCTAGTTATTCATATACTTTCTCAAAACAGACTGTTCCCAGTTATCAGATGGTTCTCAAGACTGTCGGCAGCCTTGAAATTTCTGAGTTGTGGCTCCGTGTGCGGAACCACAATTGCAATTCCTATTCCAATCCGTGTCCCAACATAACCTTCTCCTATACGTGGCACCAGATAGGTTTTTACAACTCCATTCATCCAAAAATTAAAGACCCAGCTTCTGGCCTGTGCTCATCAACTCCACTTGAGAGTCACTAACTCCCCGGAAACTTGCCCTCCAATTGCTGGGAAGGACCCACGTGCGTTTACCGTACAGGACTAGGATTTTCATCAGGTCAAGAAGATTTTCATTCAAGTAAGCCCTAGTACATCCCTGTTGGCCAAGACTTCAGTGGTGAGCTTTTGACCCCAGGGATCTCTGGGCGGGACCCCCTTTCCCACCCGCTTTGTGGCTTTCTCGGTTCGCGGAACATCCCCCCTAAAGGTGTGACTGAGCTAGACCGCGCCCCAGGACCAACCCTTTCAAGCCTTGGCGCTGGCCACACCTACCGAGCATGCGCAGCAACCAGGCTCGGATTGGTTGCCTAGGCGGAAGCTGGTCCAGGGAGCCTTTGTGTTTTTCCCAGGTTGCCCCGCGCTGCTGTCATGGTTCCTTCCCTTTGGCCGAATCTGCACATGGTGCTCTAGATCTGTGGATGTCTTTAGGGTAACTGTAGCCACTAGACTTCGGCGACTTTAGACTCGTCTCTTTTCACTTTTTGTTCACGTTTGAGTGACCATTGTAGGAACTTACTTTGTGTGCCACCATGTGCGGGGTGATGTGGACCCCGGAGGTGGCAGTTCTGAGGGGCTTCTCTACTGAGACTGAGCGGCAGCAGTGGAAGCAGGAGGAAGCGTCTGACTCAGGTGAGAGCGGCACACCTTCAGGCCGGCATGGGAGCTGTGAGGACACGAGATGCTAGGCCAGAATTCTTATCCCTTTCTGTTCCGATCCTTCACCCGTTCCCCTTTCCAAGTCTAGGTTTTGGGTTGTCGAACCCTTGACACAGTGGGCAGAACTATTGGGCTCCTTGCTTCTTAACGCCAAAATTCTCACCGCCCAGGTTCTAGAATAACAGTGGCAGTGTCAGTGAGTTTTGTAAACCTTTAACATTTATTCAGCGATATAATTCCTATAATGGCCATGTAAAGTAGAGACAAGTTTTAATCACGTATTGCAGATTAAGGCATCTATGTTGGTTATTTGGGATCACATCGCTAGTAAGCAGAAAAAGCTGAAACGAGGCCGTAACGTTGTAATTCTTGTGAGCAATGAGTATATACCTGACTAGGAAATTTTAAGCAGTACATTTACTAATGACATATAGGGACAGCTGCTTGTGGGATTAAGCCTGGATCCAGAAGAATTAACAGTATGTACGTCCTGTGTGTGTGTGTGTGTGTGTGTGTGTGTGTAAACATAGAATGTGTCAGGAAGTTTGAATTCTGACAGTATAAAATCTGGTGGTTTTGAAAAGTTTCATGGAACTTCAGATTTGTGCAGATTTCTTACTCAGAATAAGTCTGAATGGAGAAGAGTTCAGCAGGAAAAATCAAGTGCAGAAGGGTTGATGCATGGTGAATATCAAGGAAGGAATTAGTGAACCAGCATGTTTGAAATTCTTCATGAGGGAGAACAGTAGGGGAAGGAGGAGCCAGAGTGTGAAAAGTCCTAGGATCCTGGCTAAAGAAATGTTTCTGTTGCCAGAGTCTTTGTGAATTTTTCAGCAGAAGGGTAATATTGACAGCCCGGAGATTTAGCTCAGTGGTGCTGCCACCTACCTCTTCTAAGTGCAAGGTACCGAGTTGGATACACAAAAGAAGAAATATTGACAAATATTGTTTCATGATAAAACCTCCCTTTTCTTCTCATGGTCAGTATAAGCAAGCCTCTAATTCTAGGAAAGATGGAGTATGTAGACTGAGGAGGATTTGCTCATTGCTTTGCTGTTAATGTATAGCAAGCATTCTAATTGTATACCATTTTTTGTATAGTAAAATGGTATTTAGTAGGTTATCCTTTACAGTATGAAAAATTATTGTTTTGGATTACTGGACTAAGTTTTTATATTACAGAGAGTGGATCACTCTTACAGTTGCTGTTAGAAGGGCGCTATGAGGCTGTGTTCTTCCATTCAGTGACTCAAAATATTTTAAAATTTTCAACAATGTCTGAAGAAAAGATTGACAGCTACCTGGAAAAGCAGATAGTAACATTCCTGGATTGCTCTGCAGATTTGGACAAAACAGAAAGGTACAATTTAACTTAAAGTTTTCATAGAGAAACAAACTTGAATACATGTAATAGCTTCTTGACATTATAAGGTACTGAATTTAGCAGTTGTGAAATTTGAACTCATGATGTACCAAGTAATCTATGTAAGATCTTCTGTCCAGGAGACCACCATCTAGAGTGAAAGTAAAGTGTTATAGTGGAGTGTTATAATGAGATTGGCTCCTAATTGAATGGTAACTGTTAAAAACATTGAGCTGCGACTGGGGATTTTGCTCAGTGGTTCCAGCGCCTGCCTTTCATGCACAAGGTCCCTAGTTCAATCCCCGGTATCAAAGAGCAAAAAGCAAAAACCATTGAGCATCTGAAAATTTAAATCTGATATGTTTTAGCCATAGGTAAGACTTAAGATCATATTTATGTTTTTAGTAGTGGAGATTGAACCCATGGCCTTTGCTCTGAGCCGTATCCCCAGCCCTACCTTATTTTTTAAAATTTTAATTGATTATTTATTTATTTAAATTCTATGTGTTTATTCATGTACTTATTAATTATTCAGTGGTACTGGGAATGAAACCAAAGTTTGCTCTACAATGGATCTACACTCCTAGCAGTTTTTATTTTTGAAAGAGGATCTCTACAAGTTGTCTAGGTGGGACTTGAACTTACAACCCTCCTGCCTCAGCCCCTGTAGTGCTGGGCTTACAGGCATGTACCACTGTACCTACCCTCTCTTGATTTTTATTTTGCTCTCTGATATGTAAGCACCATAGCAGCCGCTGGCCTTGTGGTACTCAGCAAGCCGCAGGCACACATGTGTGTGTATCATTCACTTTTAGACTAGAATTTATTTTGGAAAGGGACACTTCATTTTACTCATTTTAGAGCATTTGAAAATTAAACTTATTCTCAGTGTACCTTAAGGATTTTTCTTTTAGAAAATTATATTAAGGCTTTAAGATTTTTCCATATACCTGTTTTGTGCAAGCGTCCTAACTTTTGTCTCTCATTTTCTCAAGTGCTGCTTACTCTTTGCTCTGCTCTCAGTTGTGCAGCATCCAGAGCATTATATTCTGATTAGCATAGCTTTGTGTTTGTGTGGTTTTTTTCCTTAAAATATTTACCTTTTCAGGAAGGGCTGAGGATCTGGGAAGTGAAGAATGACTACTGCTCACTTTCTCTTTGAATTAAACTCCATGATTCCCTGGCTCTTATTTGTAGGAGTTGAATCCTCCATTTATGTTTTCATTTAGAGGTTGAAAAAATACAGGTGCTACAGCAGGTGGCTAAGAATGGTTTTTACATTTTTAAAAGTTTGGAAAAAAAAATGTGACATACCAGGCCTAAACTCTTTTTATAGCTGTTCCTTTGTAGAAAAAGTGTATCTTGTGTCTCAAGCTAAAGCAGGTTGAAAAGTCTGAGTTTTCAGTCAAATTTCTAGTTTTTTTATTCCAGCACTTAGTGCTGTATACGGAATCACCAAACTGATAGAAACTTTTTTTTTTTTTTCATATGATAACTGGGGATCGAACTCAGGACCTTGCGCTTGTGAGGCAGGCATGGTGCCACTGAGCTAAATCCCTAGCCCTAGAAACAACTTTTTATTGTCGGTTTGTATAAAGTTAGTTTTTCTTCTATCTTTTGGCAATGTCAGCTCTTTTAAACAGAATACAAGAAGAAGTTACAGTGCCTGATGAGGATGTAAATTACCCTGTGAGGGAGGAGTCTCTGTGGTGATGGGATTGTTCCACATCTGCTTTTTTCAGTATGATGGCCATTGCCACATTTGACCATTGACTACTTGAAATATGGATGGTGTGACTAAGGTCTGCAGTTTAAATTTTATTTAGCTCAAATTTAAGAGCCACATGTGGTACATGGTTGTAATATATTGGACATTGCAGGTGTAAATTTTTTTTTCGTAATTGTTTTTGGGTTGTACTCTAGGATTGGCTCTGTACTTTTTCTTTTTGAGACAGGGTCTGGCCATGTAGCTCAGACTGGCCTTGAACTTGCAGTGATCTTTCTGCTTCAGCCTCCCAAGTGCTGGGATTACTGGGATGAGCCACCACCTCTGGCATGTGATATCTTTTTCTTAGCCACTTACCAGTCCTGTTATTTAAATACAGGATAACTAGCCGAGCGTGGTGGTGCAGGCCTGTAATCCCAGCACTCAGGAGACTGAGGCAGGAGGATCACTATGAGTTCGAGACCAGCCTGGGCTGCATAGTGAGTTCCAGGTCAGTCTCAACTACACCCCTGTCTCAACTCCTCCCCAATACAGAATGACCAAAAATTTCATTTTTTGTTAATTTTTATATAATAATAGAGCATTAAATACAAAAATGACAATTTTATTCAATATTTTTTCTGTGTATGGTACATCTTTTTTTTTTTTTTTTTTTCCGTACCAGGGATTGAACACAGGACCTTGCACTTGTGAGGCAGGCGATGGCACCACTGAGCTAAATCCTTGACCCTGTGTATAGTTTAAAACATTTAATACCTGCCTAAGGGATCGTATGTAAAGAAACTCCCTGTCTGAGTGACAGTAGGGGGAAACTGCTAAGTAAGTGGTTAATAAAACTGGTGAGTTAGTTTGTTGAGGTAGTGTGGTGATGGTAGTTCATATTTGTTTCTTTTCTCATTCATACATGCAGACAGCGGCTGATATTCGTGCTTGGTGTGAGCAGTTTGCAGCTTTTTGTTCAGAGTAACTGGACTGGGCCTATTGTGGACTTGCATCCTCGGGATTTTTTGCCATCTGCTCTGTTCCAGCAATTTAGTGAGGTATGCTTCTTGAAAATATGTGGTTTAGTGATTGTTCATTTATTCTTTATAAACAGGTCTTTATAAATTGGAATTAATAGTAGGTAGGAAAGCAGTATAACTTTGTTGCTATTGCAGAACTAATAAGAATGCTTGTTTGCTGGATGGATTTTCAGTCTATTGTCAGTTTCTAGCTCCTCTTCAGATATTCCCATTTTATGGCGCTCTGTTAGCGGCTCTTTTTTTTTTTTAAAGCACAGTCAGCTGTACCAGTTACCTAGTTTCTTACGGCACCATAATTATATAAAGTTTTTTGGGAAAAGCAGCAAATCTGGAAGTTGCTTTGATTTTGTTGAATTAAGTTTTGCTGTCCAGAAGTACTTTCCTTTATAGTGGACCCTTGTCTTGCCTTTTTTTAATTTTTGGTACCAGGGATCAAACTCAGGACCTTGCACTTGTGAGGCAGGTATGGTGCCACTGAGCTAAATCCCTGGCCTTAGAGTTTTGCACTCTCTTCATTCCCAAGGGCTGATTTTATGTAACTCAAGTGGGTTAGGTGAAGACTCAGGCTCCCCCACACAGCCTTCAAAGTCTCTCTCCTGTACACAGGCAGATCTCAGGGTCCTTCGAGAGACCTTGGCCCAGAATTCTCAGTTATCCCCATATAGGAAAGGATGTTGTGTTTTTCCTTCTGGAACTCTTTAACGTTTAAAGTTGTACCTGAGACCATCTGGAAGCACAAGCGGCTGGCATTCAGGTTGTAACTCAAGACTTTGTAAGTTAAAACTATAATTCTGGGACTGGAGATTTAGCTCAGTGGTGCTGTGTCTGCCTGGCAAGCGTAAGGTCCTGAGTTCAATCCCTGGTACTGCAAAAAAAACAAAAACAACAACAAAAACAACAACAACAACAAAAAACCCTAAAATTATGATTGTAACCTAGTTTTTCATATATCTGGCCAGTTATAACTCCAAGGTCCACTGTATTACAAATACACAGAAGCGCTGGCATAGAGGTGCTCTGCAGTGATAACTGTTATTTTCTGTATGTGGGGAGACTACTGTCTTACGTCAGTTCGTTAATCAAACTTGCAGCTGGAGTCCTTCAGGATTTTTTTGTTTGGTGCCAGGCATTGAGCCCAGAGACTCACGCATGCCAGGCAAGCACTGTACTGCTGAGCTATGTCCATAGCCTCAGGAATTTTTTGAACACTCAGGCGTATGGCTTGGTGAATATGAGATGACCTATGAACAAAATATAGAAACTTTGATTTGTCCAGCCACTTGGTAAGCTTGAACATAGCTATTAATTGCTCATCCTTGAAAAAATGCCCCTTAGTGCTGGGTGTTGTGGCACACGTTTATAATCTTAGCACTCAGAAGGCAGAGGCAGGGGTATTGTGAGTTTGAGACCAGTCTGGGCTGCAGAGCAAGTTTGAGGCCCACCTAGACTACATACTGAGACCCTTTCTCAAAACACACAACAAAAGCCAGGGGTGGTGGCGCATACCTGTAATCTCAGCACTCGGAAGGCAGAGGCAGGAGGATTGCTGTGAGTTTGAGGCCACCCTGTATCACGTACTGAGTTCAAGGCCAACCTGAACTACAAAGCTATACCCTGCCTCAAAAACACAACAACAACAAAAAAAACCGCAATCCCCCAGCATTTCTCCCAGTATTTAAAGCTGATGCAAAAAAAGAACTGCTTGTGTACTGTTATGTAGCTTCTTGAAGTTGGAAGTAGAAAGTAAACATGGAATGGAGTTATTAAAATAGGTGCTAAAGATCTGATTGTAGAATGAAAAGAGAAGTAGAAAAGCGGGCATGAACTGAAAATCATTGAAGTTAACTCTCTATACTACAGCTTAGTGTGTCATTTTTTATATTGCAATTAGAGTAATTGAAATTTATAATGCTAGCCAGGCGTGGTGGTGCACACCTATAATCCCAGCATTTGGGAGGCTGAGGCAGGAGGATCGCTGTGAGTTCGAGACCAGCCTGGGCTACATAGTGAGTTCCAGGTCAGTCTCAACTACATAGTGAGACCCTGTCTCAAAAAAAACCAAAAAAATAAAAAAAAGAAATTTATAATGCTGACCCTAGACCCTACGTCATTATTGAAAAATTAAAGTTTTTTGAATGTGTGTAAAAGAAGGGAATTTATAGTTTCTATTTTTCATTCAAAATAGAAAAAATAGGGCCAAGGATGTTGCTCAGTGATGCCAAGCCTGCCTGGTAAGTGCAAGGTCCTGTGTTTGATCCCCGGTATCAAAACAAAACAAAAAATGGAAAAAAATGGGTCAGGGATTTAGCTCAGTGGCACTGTGCCTGCCTTGTAAGTGCAAGGTCCTGCGTTCGATCCCCAGAACTGCCAAAAACAAAAACAAAAAAAATCTATGGGGCCGGGGATTTATCTCAGCAGTTTGGTGGCTTGCCTCTCAAGCGCAAGGACCCGAGTTCGATATCCGATACCAAAAAAAAAAAAAAAAAAAATCAAATCCAAAGTTACGGCACTTCAAGAGAAATTTTCAGTTACCTAGGAATTTATTTATATGGAGCATTTCACGCCTTTTCTTTCTGTGTATGAAACAGTTTTTGGTTTCCCTGGCCCTTTGGTGGTTGGAAATTGACCTAGTAGTCATAGCTCTAAGTATTATGGAGCACTATGTCTATTTTTTTTTCTTTTATTGAGTTTATTGGTACATTTTAGGTATACAGTACAGTTACATTCATTATTGAGATCTTGTGCCTTTACATGACAGGTGGTGCTTTTTTCTTTTTCTTTTTTTTTTTGTTTTATTAATTGTTTTTGGCAGTGCTGGAGATTGCCTCACATGTGTTAGGCAAGTGCTGTGCCACTGAGCTACATCCCCAGCCCTGATGCTTGGTTTGAATGGAGCTTAATTCACATGTGTCGTATCATTTTGGACCTCACAGATTTGAAATAGTCTAGGGATGAGAAGAACGTAACCGCAAAGCTGTGGAAGAAACTTGTCAGAGGTCTTGTAGCTGGGGGATTGGAATCCACATTTTCTGCTGTAGCAGCATAAAAGCACCTGTACATTCAGGACACAATTCAGAGCAGTGCAGAAATGGGTTACATGAGAAGTTCCCACCACAAGAAATGTCGGCACTAATGAAGAGGTTTGTGGAAACTGGATTTTGTTAATGCCTTTTAGTTGGGAGTGGACCTCGAACTGAAACCTCAGCAGTGATTAGGAAATAGGGAGAGAAAGGGAGGAAATGCATTCTAGGTATGGTCAGATGAGCGGTGAGCTTTTCTTGGTAATGCCCGATGGTTTGTCAAAAAGGTTTTACAATTTATACTCCTTACTAATAACCTGAGGATTTTATTATTAGTCTATTAGAAGACAGAGGAAGCTGAAGTTTTAAAACTGGCAAGTGGCACGTCAGTATTTTCTTGTGGTAATTTTCCTTTTTGATACCAGGGATCAAGCTCGGGTCCTTGGGATTGCAAGGCAGCCACCGGAACCACTGAGCTAAATCCCAGGCTTTCCTTTTCTAATTGTCCGTCTTAGTTTTATAATACACAAATATTTGCAAATGTATTTCATGGTCCTGGAATATAGTCACCAAAGCACAATTAATTTTCCCCGCCTCTAATTTACGCGCTCATGTGCAACCGTGGCATTTATTGAGGTATTTTCTGACCATGGTGCAAAGCAGCTCCAGAGGAATGAACCTGAAGGTCAGAATCTGACGGTTGGTCACCTCTCACACATAAAGGTCGATCTCATGACAGTCAGGTCTTATGTTAAGTTTGTCTCTGGCTTCCAGATGTTGAATTTTTTTTCCCCTATGATGTAGATGAATATGTAAGTGTTATTTGCTCTCTTGACTGAGGGATTTCTTTTTTTTGGTACCTGGGGTTGAACTCAGGACCTTGAGGTTGCTAGGCAGGTGCTGTGCTGCTGAGCTAAATCCCTAACCTTATTCTTAAGGGAGTTACTAACTTTTGCTTTGCCCATTTTATTGAAAATATAAATAATTCTCTTTAAAATGGATCATTTCCCAGAACCTCTGGAAGCACATTTAGAACTTATTTGGAATGTCAGTGTTATATTGTTAGTGTCAGAGGTGTATGGACAAGTGCTTAACTGTGATGCATAGCACCAGGAAGACAGTGTTACTTGGTTATTCATTGTTCTTGTATTATTATTTGGCTTGTTAATACTAAGACAGTTTTGAGTTGAACAGTAAGAGGTTTGATAATCAGCCCTTGTCTTTATGTATCAGGGGTAATGTTAGCATAGGCTCTGTCCTTGCACAATTTTTATTTGCTGCCCTATTAAATTGCTTGTTTTAAAATTTACATCATGTATGTATATATATATATATATATATATATATATCTATCTATATATATATATATCTGTACCAGGGATTGAACTTGGGACCTTGCGCTTGAGAAGCAGGTGGTGGAACCACTGAGCTAAATCCCCAGCCCTAAAATTTATATTTTATTTTGTTTTGTTTTGTTTTTGGTTTTTTTGAGACAGGGTCTCACTATGTAGTTTAGACTGACCTGGAACTCACTATGTAGCCCAGGCTGGTCTCGAACTCACAGCGATCCTCCTGCCTCAGCTTCTCTAGTGTTGGAATTGCAGGCGTGTGCCACCACGCCTGGCTTTAAAATTTATATTTTAATAAGGAGCTAAGTGTTCTGAAATTTTTGCTAGAACAGATAGATGTATTTATCTCAGAGTGATTAAAGATTCTTTTCCTTTAAGCCATGCACTGTATCTTCCTGTGCGTCACTGGTTTGGCTTGGAGTTTAGGAAATAAAGATTATGTCCATCTAAATTATGAGGTGATTTGATGAAGTTCCAGTAGGGTATATTGGGCTGATCTTTCTCTTGAGTTCTCAGTGTTTGCTTGTGTACGTGGTTCCTCCATTTGGAGCTCTTACAGGGTACTTCAGAGTCTTCGTGCCTGTGATGAACTCATGGTGAAGCTCTTCTGCTATCGGTTCTTCTTGTGTGTGCCCCAGTTACTCACACCGCTACAGTCAGACAGACAGAAGTTGTCCTGCCCTGTCCTTGAGGTTTTCGTAATGCTTAGCACACACAGCCCAGGGCTTGCTGAGGATTAGGAAGATCAGAGAGATATCTGCAGAAGTCAGTGTAGGATGGTAGGAAAATATTGTTGAAGAATAGATGTTCAAAAACCTGGCCTTGACTTGATTTTTTTTTAAACATAGAGTCTTGCTATGTTATTCCTGCCAGCTGCAAACGCCTGGATTACAGAGATCCTCCCAGTTCAGCCTCCACAGTAGGACAGACCACAGGCATGTGCTACCACACCCAGTTTAACTTTTTGCATCTATTTCCCACTACAATGGAGGCAGTTCTAATAACTTCAAAACAATTCCTTTAGTTAGAGCGAGAGAGAGAGAGAGAGAGAGAGAGAGAGAGAGAATTTACTGTCTTCTTTTTGCTTTGTTTTATTTTCTTTGAGACAGGGTCTCATTGTGTAGTCCAGGCTGGCCTGGAACTCATGGTGATCCTCTTGCCTCAGCCTCCCAAGTGCTGGGGTTATGGGAATGTGCCACCATGCTTGGCTGTGTTTAAGGCCTTCTACCTCCAGAGGGAATAGTATGCTTTATTTGCATTTTTGTCTGGTAATTTATGTTGAGTAGTCCTCTACTAACACCTCTCAGTTATGATGAAAATAGCACAAAGGATATAAGCACAGCTATGTCTTTCTTGCCTTTATTGAATTTTTTAAATAATATTTGATATTTAGCATTCAGATATTCAGTATTGAAAATAAATTATTGAGCTAGACGCTGACATTACATGGAGTATTTAATTTTACCTCACAAGAATGCTATGACCTAGGTTCAGTTATTTCAGGTTAAACAATTGATGAAACTAAGAATGTAGTTGAAAAATTGCCCTCTACTCACAAAGCAGTAAGATGCAGAGGAAGAGCACTCCTGTCTGTGACATTCCTAACGGGTACGCCTTTCTGCTGATTGTTGTGGGAGCTGGTAAAGTTCTGCAGTTGCTTTAGCCATTGTACAAAAGCTATTCATCAGAGGAGAGGATTTGTAAAGAACATCATTCATTCCTTTATTTTTGTGGCATTGGGGATTGAACCTAGAGTCACTGTATCACCGAGCTACATTCATAGCCCTTTTTGTCCTTGCTAAATTGCCCTAAATTGGCCTCACATTTACAATTCTCCTGCCTCAGCCTCCTGAGTATCTGGAATTACCATTGTGTGTCACCATGCCTTGCCCTGTTCACTTGGCCTTCTCAGCGTTTGATCTCATCTCAGATCTCGTTGATGGTTTGGCTTGATGAGAATTGTGCAGTGGAGATGGGCTTTGTAATAATGCTTGCCAGCTAGTGAAGCATAAGCAAAATGTAGGTGTTCTCTTTCACTTAGGGGTGGTATTCATAGGTAAATCTATTAAGTGATGATGCTTCTTCAGTGTAGGATTTTCGTGAGTTCCCTGTTTTCTCTTTAATTTAATAAAATTTTTTGAGACAGGGTCTTGCAGTGTTACCCAGTTTGGTCTTGAACTCTCCAGTTCAGTTGATCTTCTTGCCTCAGCCTCCTCAGCAGTTGGGCCTACTTATGCATACCACCACCCCTGGCTGATCTGAAACATGTTTTACTTTTTGGTTGTGTCCCCTGTTTGTCTTGAGTTTGAGCATGTGGGTGACCATCTGTCAGGGCAGGTCAGACTTATAAAGGGATTTGCAGTGTTGCTGTGTGGTACATTAATGACCTTATCTCAATGCTGAATTAACTGGAAAATATATGTGTTATTATAAGACATACAAAGTTGTTAAACATGTAAGTTATAACATTTCAGCTTACAAACTTGTTTTCAGGTCAAAGAACTGGATATGGTTGTTCTGAGCCTGCTCACTCTAGATGGTGAATCAGTGTATGGTCTGACTACAAAACCTATCCTGCTACTGATTGCACACATTATCCTGGTGAATATAAGACATAAACTGACAGCTGTTCAGGTAAGGAACAAAAAAGATTGCAAGCAGCATACTGTCAGTGAAATTCTGTGACATTTATGTTTGTAGCATCAGACTGTACATGTGATGCTGACGATATCTGGGTACATTTGGTTTTCTAAGTCTTTTTGAAGGTATATAATTTTAAAATCTGATGAAAGTAAGCAAAAAATTTTTCTCCTTATGAGATTTCATCTTGTATGAAGTGACTTATGTTTAGCCTCATTAGTAATTTTTTGTGTGTGAATGAGAATGTTCATTCTTAGAATCTTAATGTTTAAAAGCATCATTCATAGAATTTTGTAAATTCCATGTAAAAATACTGAACAATAGCAAGAATGCAGCAGGTCTGAGCGACTGCATCCTGGCTCATAAACTGCCTTGTTTCATTATTTGGTTTGGATCTCGTACAGCATTTGCTATGCTATGTATGTATTATATGGTTTCTTCACTTATAAGCTAGCTAGCAGGAAACTCATACTCACAGGAAGCTGATACACAGTAGGAGTGACAGAACTGCAGAATAGACACCCACATGGCCTTTGGCAGGTGGTGGAGGTGTCAGCTGTGCAGTGCGCAGGCCCGTGGAAGAGGCCCAGCTCTGCTGAGTGGTGATGTGAGAGCAGCCGGAGACATTATGTAAACAGATGGGTGGAACTGTGTTCCAAGATAGCAGTGCTTATGGAAACTCAAATTCATATTTTACATACTTTTCACATGTCATGAAATATTTCTTTCAATGATTTCAAAATATGAAAATGATTTTTAGTTCTTGGGCTGTATGAAAGAAAGCCGTGAGCTGGATTTGGCCCACAGGTTGGAACTTGCCTGCCCCTCTCTATCTGATTGCTTTAATGGAGACCTGTCTTGTGGTCTTGTGAGAAATGGTGTCTAAATGTTACGTGAAATCTCCCAATTTGTAAGTGTTGGCTGAAAAGTTTTAAGAAACCCAATATTTTAACTGGTTGTGGTGGCCTGTATCTATATTTTCAGCTTCTCAGGAGCGAGAATCTCTGGAGTCCAGGAGTTTAAAAGCAGCCTGGGCAACATGGCAAGATCCTGTCTCAAAACAAGCAAAATTCCCAGAAATATGTGTGTGGGGGGTCACTTTCTTAAAACATTTAGGTTTAGACACTGACCTTGATTTAAAGAAGAAAAGAAGTGACGTCTCTATTGCAGTTTTTACAAGAACCAAAAGTTTTGGAACTAGTTGTTTGAGAAGAATTTTGATAGATGATTTTAGTATGTTGCAGCAGATATGAGACTTGTCTTTGGTATTTTAGTGATATTAGCTTGAATAAGATTTTTCCTAGGTTGGGGATTTAGCCCAGTGGTTCCGGTGCCTGCCTTGCAAGCCCAAGTATTGGAGTTCAATCCCCAGTACCCCCCCCAAAAAAAAGAAAGAAGAAAGCTTTTTCCTGAATTGATCTGGGTTCAGTGGCTCCATAGACTTATTTTATCTAAAGAAAGAGTCACCAACGTGAGAACGTGTGAGGCTGGAAAATGGCTGTATTTTCTCTTCCTTTTTTTTTTTTTTTTTTT